GTGGGAGGGGTGCAGGGGGATTGTGTACCAGGGAAGCAGTGTTTTTTTTACTTTTGAAAGAGAGGAGCGAACTGGGAGTGGGGGGGGGGGCGGGGAGAGAAGTGCAGCAATGAATGAATGGAAATCCAAAATCTCTGTAAATGCTCATTAAAATTCTTAAAAAAAAAAAAAAATCAATGGCCAGGAAAGTCATTCTGAACTATAAACTCCACAAGAATATATACTAATCTAAAACTTGAGGCATTTAATGCATGTACAAATACAGCCTGAAAACGGGTCATGATAACAATTATGGGAATCGCAGAACACTTTATATACTCACATAAAACTTATCAACAGACCAAGAAACAGTTGTTTGAACACAATAGGGAAGTACTGTATGATTTAAAATAAGGAAAAGGTGTGTGTCCAGTTTCTCTATTCTAATTCAATCAGTACACTGAGCACGTAATTAAAAAAGCTGGACTATAAGAACAACAATATAGCATCAGAATTGGAGGCAGACTTGTTAATAACCTGTCTTATTCAGATGAGACAACCTAGCTGGCAAAATGTGAAGATGCCTTGAAGTAGTTAATGAAGAAGAGTCAAAGGAAGAAGTCACCAAAGGCTTCATACAAAATTCTTTCCACAGCCCAGAAACTAAAAGAATGACTAAGTAAGTTCCTGTCTTTTGTCAACAAGAGGTTACCAGTGAAAAAAACTGCAGCGTAGTTGCCATATAATACTTGGGGAGCTCAGAGAAAACAAAAAGCCTATAGGTTTAAAAGATAATGGATGTTAAGAAGGATGAAAGTATCTGGAAGAGTAAATGGAAGCTAAATAAACCATCAAGGTGGCCATTCTGTTGAGAGCTGTGTTGTTAACTCAAAGGTGACCACTCGCTCTTGTTGGTCACTAGTAACTTCAAGGGAAAGGGATGGGCACCATCTACCCTTGTAGCTTATAACCTCAGAAACGCCATGAGTCTGCTATGAGTTATTTATGGGAAGTGTAAAATGGTGCAACCTCTGTGGAAGGCAGTGTGTCACTTTCGCAAAAAGTTGCAAATAGAGATACCATCTGACCCAGCAATTCCACTACTGGGAATATACCCCAAAGAGACCATAACTGACATCTAAGCAGATTTATGCACACCCATGTTTATTGCGGCTTTGTTCATAATAGCAAGGAGTTGGAAACAACCTAAGTGCCCATAAACAAACAAATGGGTGGAGAAGCTGTGGTATATTCACACAATAGAATACTATGCTGCATTGAAAAACAAGGAACTCATGCAATATTATTCAAAATGGTGACCCTGCAGGATATTATGCTGAGTGAACTATCTCAGTCACACAGGGACAACTACTGCACCACTACTGTAAAACAGGACTGACATTGGGGTTGGGGGGAAGACTCAGAAAGATGGGATAAATAATATGTACTGCATTGAAACAGATGAGAGAGAAAACGGTTTAAAACTGATACGTAATTAGGAATTGTCATGACAGGAGTCCAGAACGAAGGCTGCATCATGGAGTGCAATTGAGGGGAGGGATTGTAATACAATGGGGAACTTTTCTTTTACTTTTCAAAGAGAAGAGTGTACTGGGGTGGGGAGGGGTGGGCAGGGAGAAAAGTGTAACAATGAATGAACAGAAATGCAAAGTCTCTGTAAATTTTTATTAATAAAAAAAGAAACTTCAAACATTTTGAACAAACAAAACAAGCCTTCTCATAAAAAAAAACACCTTCAGATTACACACCCAAAATGCACCAGAGACAAGGAGGCAGAACAAATATATCTACAGTGGAGTTCCATGAACAGCTACTGAAGAAGTTACAAATCTACAAATCACAGAAGAAGGAACTGAAATCATAAATAAAGAAATACCCCAGAAATAGGAAACAAGAAGAAATATACTGATGTGGAGTTACACAAGAAGCTACTGAGGAAGTCACAAACAACTGAAGAAAGAATTGAACCATAAATGCAGAGGTACAAGAGGTACAATAATATCAAAAATCATCACAGAGAGCGTACAACAAACAGTACTGGAAATAAAATCAAAGCATGAAAATGCAATCCTGACTATCAGGACCAAAATGGCTGTAAATAGCACAGAAAGAGATTGCTCATCTTTTTTTCCTTTGGAGCTGCTGGTAGATTTATATTTGGGGGAGTGGGTAGTTAGCAGTGCAACTCCCTGGAGACTAAGCCAATAGAGCTCGCTATCTCACCAACTAGAATGGTACTAATACAAATTATAGAAAAGAATAGATGTTGGCAAAATAGGGATTAACTGGATACACTTACTCATATTTTGTGAGACTGTAAAATCATATGACCTCTATGGAAAACAATTTGGTAGTTTCTCAAAAAACTATACACAGATTATCATAAAATTCAGCAATTTCACTTCTAAGAAACATAAAATTTAAAAAAATCAAAAGCACAAATAGAAAATGAAATCTGTACACCACATTCACTAAAGTACTCCACACTATACCAAAAGGAAGAAAAACTTAAATGTCCATCAACAGATGAAGCCAAATTTAGTATAAACATACAATATTAAACATTGTCACTGAGTAATTCTGATCATAGTGACACTATAGACAGGGTAGAAAAGCACCATAGGGTTTTCAATGTCTTTACAGAAACAGATTGCCACATCTTTCTCTCAGACAGTAGCTGGTGGAATGAAATTATTGACCTGTGAGTTGGCATTCAAATGCTGTACAATCAGCACTCCTTAATAGAATACTATATAATAATTAAAAGAAGTGTTGTCTGGATGAATATGCAGTATGGATGAACCCTAAGAAGACTATGCTGCTCAAAATAAGTCAGTTACAGAAATGAAAATCACTGTATGATTACATATCAGGAAAATATCTAGTCAAATATATAGAGGCCCAGGTTCATTGCACTTAGAGTGAATCATCGTGTATAGGCAGAGTTTTAGTTACAGGTGATAGAAAATTTTGCTAACAGCAGTATACTCTGCACTGTATGATGAACATAAATAATTTTAAATTAACTATACATGCAAAAAGTGTTAAAATGACAAAGGTTTACTACATACATTTTATTTCACAATTTTAAAAAAACAGACAGATTTAAAGAAATTTAAAGGGTAAGAATTACAAAGAGACTTAGAAGTAGATACACACATAGATGACAGAAACTGCAAAACATGAGCCACTGATGGTACAGCCTAGAGTCATTTTCATGGAACAGAACTGTGAACAAAGAGAAGGCTTCTGGGGGCTGTCATAAAGCTATTTGTAGACTGGAGAATTATTTACTAGACAATCAACCTGATAATTACCAAATAATTTATTTAGTAAGATTTTATGTATCGTGCCTGTTTTTAATACAGAAGGAAAAAACAAATCCACAGTCTCTTTTCTATAAAAGCAGTGACTGTTAATTCCACGAGTGCAATTACAGGAACCAAGCTAAGACTTTAAAGGCATCACCTGTCTTTTCCCCAGTGTTCAAGGTGAGTACCTGGTATTTTCACGGTGCCACTGGTGGATGTGTCATCAGTGTAAGGATGGCTGCTCTCCACCACGACTGGCTGTGAGGAAAGGCGGCCACTCTGTGAGTCTGTAGCAACATCCTCTAATTCAGTTACACAGAGTTCCAGCAAAGTATCTGCAACCTGGGAAAAAGCAGGGGGAGAACATCAAGTGGCTATTACACCCAGGAAAAAAGATCAAACAATTTTGTCATTAAGGACCATAAAAACTGAAGATAATTTCCAGTAAATTCTAAGTTTTCAGTTTTATCCAAAGGAAAATCTTTTATTCCAGGTGTCTTCCTATGCTATGAGAAGATTAATTTTAGTGACGAAAATCTTTCTCAGCAACAAAATCAAAGGAGATAATAAAGATAATAAAAACTGTCAAGATTCGTAAAGCATTAGATGGATGTGTGTGTGTGTGTGTGTGTGTGTGTAGTAGGATTGGCAGGAATTAATAAAATTCATGCCAACTAGGCAAAAAAGTAAGAGCCAGAGTAACTGTGACAAGAGAGACTATAAGGAAAAACAATTGAATCAAGTTCCATATCACATTCTCAACAACATATGTTATTGGTACGTGCCACCAACTCACAGCCGATTCTCCAGCAGGTTTTCAGAGGCTGTAAATTGCATGCAAGGGGACTGTCAATCTTTCTCCCTCAGAGAAGCTAGCTGATTCAAACTGTATGCCTTTGAGATGGCAGCACAATTCCTATTATCTTAAAGTTTAGAGATACACAACATTTAATTTAATGTTGATTTTTTCCCCCCTTCTTTTTTCTGGCTGTGGAAGGTTGAACTGGATTCCACTGGCACAGGAGGAGATTGCCCCTCCTTCTCCAGCAGAGCATGTGGTGAGTTTTAACCGCAGGCCTTCAGGATTGCAGCGCAACTTCTAAATGCTGACGTTGTTATGCACCATTGAGTCGGAACAAACTCATGGCCAACCCTCCAGCAAATTCTCAAAGACAATAAGTTGCATGGGAGGAGAATGCCCATCTTTCTTCCACAGAGCAGCTGGTGGATTTGAACCATGTTCCTTTGGAATGGCAGTCCAATTCCTTATAACTAAGCCACCAGAACTCAAAAACAGCAATTATTAGTGATCACGAAGTTTTCAATTATACTTAAACAGTTGACAATACTATAAAAGAAATAAAAGAGTAACCCAAAAAGTTTTTAATTAGGGGGGAAAAACAATTTTGGGGAGACTTAGGGAGGGAACTGCCCCAGACTGCACTTCTCAGAGTCTCACATTCCCCTAGAAGTCCCCATCTCTATATAGAGATTCTACTGCTAAGGCAGAAGAGGTCCCTCCCATTCAGCTTCAGAGAACTCAGGTATGCCTCTAACACCGAGACTTAGGAAGAAAATGGTTCCAGAGTGCATTTCTCAGGGGCCCCCATTCGCGGAAGATCCCAGTTCCATTCAGTGACTCCATTAATATGGAAGAGGTTCCTGCCACATGGGTTGGGAGGTGGTGAAGTAGAAACCACTATTGAGTAGCAACACTGAAATTTCCACAGAAAAGTATACTAGCCAAGTTTACAAAGCGCCCCTCAGAACGGGGCTGCGCGACGCTGCGTCACTGTAGCGGGCATATCGCATTGCCCCCCCCCCCAGCTCTAAAAGTTGGGACTGGCCAAGGTGCCCTGCGCAGACACAGTG